GGTGAGTGACTGCACACAGGGCAGCTCTGCACAGCCCTCCTCCTTCCTCTTGGGAAGGAAGGTGAGTGCCCCTGCGTGGTCCTTCCTCGCAGGGCGTCCGGCTCCCGCCTTGATGACAGCCGAGCGCACAAACGGTAGCTAATTTATAAACGTCTGTCACGCTGTTGCCACTAGAGGGCACGTTGCTAGTCCGGGTGTATTTACTTTGGAATGGGCAAGTCTCTGTAGCTGAAATTCTGCTCCTTCCTCTTGGGAAGGAAGGTGAGTGCCCCTGCGTGGTCCTTCCTCGCAGGGCGTCCGGCTCCCGCCTTGATGACAGCCGAGCGCACAAACGGTAGCTAATTTATAAACGTCTGTCACGCTGTTGCCACTAGAGGGCACGTTGCTAGTCCGGGTGTATTTACTTTGGAATGGGCAAGTCTCTGTAGCTGAAATTCTGACATCTTTGCTCATGAGAGTTAGTATTCATTGCGTTCGCCTCGGTGAGTGTCAAGCTCCAAGCCTAAGTAAGCAATGTGGAACTGCATAATTTATCCAGCGATTTTTTAAAAAATATTTTGACTATTTAAAAGTCGGGAACGAGACACCCAGTGTGGCTTGGGGCGAGGGTTTCGTGTTTGCTTGGGCTGAGCCCTCTCCCTTCCCTTGGGACGTGGTCATGCTCCAGCCACTGGCACGTTGCTTCCCTGCTTGCAGAAGGAGCTGGCTGGGAGGCCAGGCTTGCAGAAGGAACAAAATTGGTTGTCAATCTGCCGTGGATCCAATTTACTGGCTGGAAAGGACACCCGGCTCCTGGTCTTGCTGCACTCAGCAGCTGCCTGGGGAAGGCAAGAGGAGTTGGGCCCTCGTGGCCACCACGTGGCCCAGTTACTTTGGGGAGGGATGAGATGAACTCCTGTATTCGTATTATAATGTGGAAAAGCAAAGGCAAGGGGTTGTTTTAAGGTAAGAGAAGGGGTTGCCGTGGCTGATGTCCCCCTCTGAAGTGATTCTTGCAAGCCGCCCTGTTTGCAAAAATTGCCTGCACAAGCAGCAGCTTCGCTCTGGTTTTCATAGGGCTGCAGAACAGATGTACAGTTGTGTTTTTGTAAACCACATTTAAGCAGCAAATTGCCTATAATATCAACAACAATTACAGATGCTGATTTTTAAATATACTAAACATCTGTCAGAGTAGTGAAAAACATCAACAAGGTGCACATCTATCTCTGGTGCTTTCTCATCTACCAAGAAATGCCGTTTCCCAACCAGAAGTGTTAATTCCTTGCAAGAGCAAGGCTACTGCAATGCCGTTAAACTTTCTGTGTGTCCCACTTTACATATTTTGCTGAAAGGCGAAATCTTTAGCAGCTTTCCAGTTCTGGTGCCTCTCTGAAGGTGAGAGGCCCTTCCCGTTGGTGCTAGGGGCCTGATCCTGATCCCGGTGACTTATGTCCCAGGACTGAGGCGGTGCTGACAGTTCATGGGCCGGATCTCCTGAATCCTGAGCTTAAGGTCATGGTCGTTGGAGGAGATAAAAGATGGGCAGCCCGTGCATGGCCACGAGCAGCCTCCGGAGCCCCTTGTGTCCGAAGCTGCCCTTGGTTAGGAGGTTCAGCCCATCTAGGAGACCCCAAAGCCCTTTTCTGGCCCCCATGTCGCGTGGCCTGGTCGCAGGGGGCGAGGAGACGCGTCCCAGCGAGCTCCCGTCCAAACCACACGATTCTCCAGCAATGTTCTCAGACTAAACAATTATTAATAGCTTCTGAGAGGGGTTCAAGCAAACATCCCTCTCCTGCAGAGATAAGGGGAAGGCTACATGCAATTGCTTTGAATCTGATCCTTTGACTGTTAATGTTAAACAAATTAAAAGCGGGCATAAGCACAAGAACTCTTCAGAGGTCGCTTGTGCTTATTTGTTCCGTTGCAGTCGGACTGGCTTTGGACTGGAGGGGGACCGAACTGCAGCACAGCCCTGTGCTGGCCCGGACAGGCTCCTTCCTGCAGCTCTGCAATGGGAAGGACAGGGATAGGAAGGGAGATCGGCACGGGGAGATGGGAGATTTGAAGAGAGCGAGGGTGCAGGGATGTGCAGGAATGTGCAGGGGTGGCCACAGAGCCGTGGTGGCCACGGTCCCCCCGGAGCTCGGAGCCGCGGAGGACAGTTGTGAGTGAGGCGCAAGTCCCAGCTGCGTCTCTCCCCCTTCTGCTAAAACAACGATTAATCTTTACATTTTAGACATTCTTCTCCTCGGCTCTCTCTCAGAGGGCCCGGGGCGGCGTGCGGAGACCGGGCCCTGCGGAGGCCGGGAGCCGCTCCGAGCCGCGGCCGGGGGGGAAGCCGCTTCCCTCCGCTCTGTTTTGTGTCCCGCGCAGGCTGCTACGTCCGCAGGGTGGTGAACGTCTCCTTCGGGCTCCTCATCGCCTACCTCAGCGTCCCCGTCGTCGTCAACCTGCTGAGCTCCAGACAAGTCATGAACACCTCCTTCAACCCTCTCCGGATCGTGAACACCTACGGGGCTTTCGGAAGGTACACTCATTTCAAGAGCACATCATACAACTCAACCTGTCCCTCAGCGGCACCAACTACAGTCGGAGAGACAGTTTTTAAGCCTGAAATGAGACAGAAATCCTTCCAGATTACGTAGACTTGGAATAGAGTTTGGGTAGACTTGGGGTAGACATGGGGTAGACTCGGCAGGTAGACTTGTTTATGAGGAGAGGGGAAGAAAAGAGCAGGTGTCTTTCATACTGAATTAGAAATTGTTTTCCTTGAGGTGTTTTTAATTAGCTTGTTATATTGATGTAGCAAATAGAGCAGCAGGATGAAAATAGCCCTGGACAAGGTCACCTGGAGGATGGCCTTCACCATCGCCAGCAGCCCTTATTTATGGTGAACTTCTCTTCCCATGCACACACTTGTTCTCCCTCGTGTAAATATTCGTGTAAGCCATTGGGTAGCAGGTTTAAGGCCAACAAAAGAAGTGCTTTTTCCAACCAGTGACTTGGGGAATTCATCTCCACAGGAAACTGTGGAGACGGGAGTGCAAATGGGTCCCCAGGAGAACAAGAGAGGTTCAGAGCACAGGCGGGTGGGCAGTCTGGCTGCTGCCTTCAGCTCAGGAAGCCCCGTTTAGGGCAGGAAGGAGGGGACTGAGCAAGGGGAAGTATCTGGGTCTAGATTTAGAAGCTCTTGAGGCTGGGCGTTCTGGAGGAGGGTCCTGGGCTGAGGTGAGCCCAGGTCTGACCCAGGATGACTCTTCTGGTGCACTGTCCCTCTCAGGCTCTTCCTCACCAAGGCATCTGGGAAGATGTTGGGTTTTTTTGCATAGAGCAGGGGTGGAGAGGTCTCTGCATGCCTCGTGCAGGGTCGCTGCTGCTGATGGTGGTGATGCTGCAGGGCCGGTGGGGAGGGAGGCCACATGACGCCCACGAGTCGCTTCCAAAAGGCAGCCCCTGTCCTGAAAAGCTGAGGGAGGCCCAGGGAAAGGCAGAGGAGGGAAACCACAGCAGAAGGAGCGAAACAGTGATTTCCAGCCCCCCGTTTAACCCCAGTGTCCGTGGATATCACCAAGGGTCTGGTCCTTGCCCGGTGCGTTGCTCTTTGAGTGGTGTCTGTTAGCGGCCAGCCCAAGGGATTGTCCCCTGTCACAATCCGGAACAAGGGGGTTGGCCACCCCACGACCCAGCTGCGGTGACCACAAGTGTCCCCAGAGACCAGAGCCAGGAGGTGCCCCAGGCTCCTGGTGACGCAGCGGGCTCTGCACGTGGTCCCATAGGAGGAGGGAACTGGAATTAAATAGGTTTTATAGAAGGAGGATCAGGTTGGGTGATGAAAACCCTAGCAGAGCAGCTGGCCGGAGGGGAGGAGTGGGTCTCTCTGGAGATGCAGAGCACACCTAGAACCATCAAAGTCATTCACCCAGTATTTCAAATAGCAAATATGTTTTGTGAAAGTGAAAACTTAGTGAAAACATGATTAAAAGTACCAGCACTAAAAAAGTGCGAAACAGTGAAGTTTCTCCTTTTTTTTTCAGAGAAGGAAAAATAACCCTTGAACCTCTCTGAATGCTGCAGTGGTGGAGCTACGGGAGATTGTTTTCTTTGGGCTGTTGTTCTTCTTTTGCTTCTTCAGTCTATGGTTTCTGTTTCAACAGTTAGCAGAACCTAAAGAGCATGTGATGAAATGCTGCTGTAATATGTTTGTAATTCCAGCCTATGTAAACCAATAAAAAGAGGATTGCAGCTTATAATGAATATACGATTATGTGAAACTTGACATATTTTGAATCACACAGTAGGAACATACTTTTATTAGTAATTTGCTGTCCCTGATTTACAGTGTGTTTCTAACCATTGGGCAGCTAGCCATGGCTCATAACTCAGCCCCTCATATAATATGGAACTTGGCTGGAGGATCCAGAAATCTATTAAACGTAGGTAACAATTATAAGCTGAGACACAGAGCATTCCTCGAGGGTAAGCACCTATCATGGGAAGTCATTGGGTCGGAGGAGGCTCCAAGCTCCAAACTTTCAGTTTCTTGGGTTGAAGAAGAGGGAATATAGTAAGAAAACGTAAAATGTGTATGGAGCTGAGCGATTCTGACAGGCAGGATTATGCTGGTTTGCATTAGTTGTGGAGAGCAGCTCTCCAGTGCAGAGGAGCAACCCTGATGCTCGTGTTTTCACCTGGGCTTTCAGTGACCTGCAGAGTTTGCTCCCTGTTGCTCACCTTGCTGAGCAGAAAGCAGCAGACCAAGCAGCAGACCGAGCAGCCCTATGACCTGGCATGAGGCTGGGCTTTTGCAGCCCCGTTTCCGCACCGCTGCGAGGTGTCATGGGCCTCCCGTGGCTTCCTTCTGCCTTTCCCATGGCTCCGTTTGCGGTGGCTCGTGCGGGACCTGCCGTCCAGGCGGGACGGCGAAACGCTTGGGCACATATAGACCTTGGGCACATTTAGACCTTGGGCACATATAGACCTGTGCTGGGGGGCTCCAAGAGGCAGCACCCAGGGGTGCCCTGCACAGGGCCGACGGGTGGAACCGGCCACGCAGGGCTCGCCACGAGCAGATCCACGGGAAGCTCCCGTGCAAATGCCCCTTGGGGCAGCCGCACATGCACGCGTCTAGTTTTTGCAAAACCAGGATGAATGTTGGTGCCTTCTGTGACCATCTTGCATTTCTGCTGCCTCCCGCCATGGAGAGCCCGTGTCCTCAGAGAGCTCTTACATCATGGCAGGCATTTTGCATCATCGCTGTAACAGAAATGAAGATTTTCTTTGGAAATTTGTGACAGGTTGGCCCAGGGGGCAGGTGCTCATGTGGGACTTGGCAGACACCCATCATGTCCTCTCAGTACCTTGGGCAAGGTCAGGCTCCGATCTGCAGGGACAGAAGGACTTCTAAGACCCACAGATTTCTGTAGGAAGCATCTCCCAGCCTTGGGTTCCCTAGGGAATGGCAGCAGCACCAAGTTGCTCTGTCAGCCGCTGCCCATTGGGATCAAACCCTCGCTAGGTTGGCTCTAAGCGGGTGGCATTTTTCACCACTCGAGAAAAGTAACAATATTGTGCTGTGTCCCACAGCATCACCAAGGAGAGGACGGAGATCATCATCCAGGGGACATCCAGCGAGGATCCCCACGATCCCGCGGCCGTCTGGGAGGAGTACGACTTCAAATGCAAGCCCGGCGACGTGAGGAGGAGGCCCTGCTTCATCAGCCCCTACCACTACCGCCTCGACTGGCTCATGTGGTTTGCTGCTTTCCAGGTCCGTGTCTGCGCGCGCCCCGAGACGCCTGCGCCACCTGCACCAGGAAAAACCACCAATTCCAGGGAATTTGCAGAGTGCCTGGCGTGGGCGGGGGGATATTTTAGGCTCCGGCTAAGTTTATTAGGTCAAAAAAATAAACAAACAAAATAACGTGGACAGACACACGGACCCTCCCGAGCCCTGCAGGTTTGCCCAGTTTTCCAGCAAATCGGGCAATTTGAATTGTCATTCAAATTGTCGCTGTGTTAAATTGCCCAGTAGCTGCTTTGGGGCTGGGAGGAGACATTTCTGCAGCCAAGGGCCGGGGGCTGCTGCTCCCCTGTCACCCCCAGCAAGGCCTGAAGTCCTGCAGGATGGTGCAGGGGTTGGTCCTGCCAAGGGATTTCTGCAGGTGAGAGCAGCAAGCGGCTGCTCTAAATTAAAAAAGAGAGGGGATGCTTTTAAAATTAACTCTCTGATATTGCAGCCTTTTCTGCAAATTCTCATTTGTGCGAGCAGGAGGTTGTGGCTTTTAGAAAGCAGCAGCTGCATGAGGCAGAGCCACGGGTCAACCTGCCGGCGTTTCCCCTCGCTGCCGCTTGTGCCTCTGCTCTCCCCTGCCCCAAACCTCCCTGTTTTCTTTCTTCGAGGGATTTTCATTTAGGCGCCTTGTAGATTCCTCGCTGATGACATAACCACCTCTCCCTGGCTTTGCTTTTATATTTACCCCTCTGTTTTTTGCGTGCTGGAATTTCATTTAATCTGCATTAGGTATGCTTAGCCCTCAGCGAGACGGCAGCAAAGGTTAAGGCTGCGGCGGCGGGAGGGCAGAGGCGGCCGCGGCTCCGCGCGCCGCCTTTCCGGAGCGCTCCGGCACCGGCCACGCTCGGAGGAGGCTGCGGAGCCGAGAAGCGGATCCAAGATGAGAGAAAGGCCGTTTGTTTGCGGGGCAGGAGTATCCCTAAGGTCCTGCAGTACAAAGTGCTCTCGGGTTTAAAAACAAACGAGGACGGGGCATAAATACTCGTGCGTCAGAGGGAAGTGCTGGTGCTGAGAGACGCCCGTAGGCCCCGGCCGATCTTTCAGCGGCCGCAGCCCCGGCGCTGAGTGACGGTGACGGATGAGAGCGGCCGGCGAGGAGGAGCGAGACGAAGCAGCCCAGGCCCCGGCCCATCTCTCTTCCTTCCCTTTATTTTTTCTTAGTTTACCGCAAAGTTCCCCCAAGTGTCTCCATCCGCCTGCGCGTGCGGTGTTGGAAGGCATTCATGCAAACGGCATCGCTAATTAGCTTGTTAATTAGCTTGTTTTGATTGCTGTTGGGCAAGGCAGGAGGTCGCTGCACACCTTGTGCACGCGGGGCTGTTCCGCTAGCACCAAACTGGGGTGAGTGCTGCAAACAAAAGCGGTGCAAGCAACAAGGACACAGCAGCAGACACTTGCAAACGCGGATGTTTAAATTTAAGTGTGTAAATATGTACCTAAGCATGGAAGGAAATCTCGGACCGAGTAGCTGGATGTTTGTTTGAGAGTCCGGGGCTGTATATTTAGCACGAGGTGTCACACCTGATGTTTGGAAAGGCGGCTGTGCCGCAGCCCGGCCCCGGCCTTTGCACCGGAGGAGGCTGCAGTTGTTCACGTGGTGCTTAAATCTGCACCGTGCATAGGAAATAGCTGCAGAGAGGATGAGAGACCAGATTTTAAACCCCAGATAAAGTTCAGTCAGATCAAGTTTTGCAGAGCCCACGCTGTAATTTATGGAGCCCATTAAGTCAGCTGCTTCTGCCTCTGGATTATATTTAATTTGTCTTTGGGAGTTCTGGCTGTTTTTCTCCCTCTGGAGAAATCTTGGGACGAGCTGCGGAAGCGCTCGCGGCGCCTGGGGAAGGCAGCGGCCGTCGCTCCGCGCCGCTCGGGACTGGCTCCTCTTTCCATCTCTCGACTCCCGGCACCGTCTCCGCTCCGGCTCTCCCTTCCCTTCCCTTCCCTCCGGCAGCGGGATGGCCACGGCGCGGAGACGGGGCCGTGAGGGCTCCCCGGGATGCTCCACCCGACACCCTGTTCATTAGTTGCTGCTTTTCGGTTCCTGCTCTGCAAGCGCCTTATCGATGTGCAACGCGGCGTGACATTATATTCCAGGAAATGGTTTCATCATGTTAACTTTATTATCTAAATATCCCTGTTCGTTTGTTTTCTAAATCCCCTCTTTGTCTTCTGTGTCTCGACGTCCCATGGGTGCTGTAGCTCTGAATTAACGTCCTTCGTTTAGCCCTGGCGGGGATGTACCCAGTCCAGAAAGATGCCCGCATTGCTTCTTCCTCCCTAGAGAAGGGAAAAGTCCCACAAACTGCCCGTGAGCCACTAGGAAATGGAAAGCACAGCCTGAATATGTGGATGCCACCACGGTGTGAGGACAGGGGAGCACATGCAGCCCCACGGTCACCTCGCTAAGTTCGCGTCACGTCCCGGTACAACCCGCCCAGTGCCACGTCCAAGGGAAATACCAGTTCGGAAAGAACAAAAAAAAAAAGGGAGCTATGGGCAGAGCAAAAGTCCAGAAACACGGTAACAGGTTGCACAAATCCACATGGGTTGATCCAGAAAAGAAAAGGGACAGACGGGCATTAAAACACATTTGGGAAATGCGAGGGCCCCCTGCAAAGAGGAGAGCAAGAGTTCTCCGTGTCTGTGTGGAGAAGGAAGGCAAACATGAGCTAAATGTTGGGATATGGTTCAATCTCAGGGAAATTCAGGTTGAGTATTAGGAAGAGCTTTCTAGCAGGAGATGATTTAATGACAGACTCAATGGCCAGGACGCTGCTCTGCTCCTCCTGAGGTGCTTCCTTGCCCCAGGGACCTTCCTGAGCTGTTGCAAAGACACCCTCTTCTTGCAGAGTGTGGGGACAAATCATTAAACCTCGGTGTCTCCTCCAGCATGGAGTTGTGCTGTGCCATGGCACAAGAGGTGCCGTGGTGGGACTCTTCTCAGGCTGTGGGGGATTGAGCATTGTTCATAAAATCAGCCAGAAAACAAGATACTGCTCATAGTTTTTGTGCTTTCAAGTTGGTCGCTTTTCCGGGTACTTGGATGTCTTGGACTTTGCGAAAGCTGCTTGTTTATAGTATAAAATATTTGCTCTTCACCATTGGACAGCAGTGGAAAGTCTTCACTGCTCCGAATAAAGCAAAATCAAAGGGAAGGCTTTCTCCCCTCTTCTTATGGCACGAAGGTTGTTTATTCTGTTCAGGTTGTGTAAGCTCCCCGTAGCAGGGGCTGCGTGCTTGGCCGCGGCAGCAGAGCACATCGGTGCTTACTGAACAAAACTAGTCGAAAAATAACAAAGCTATTGCCATCTTGATATTGATTTTTAAAGCTCGGTGTCTTGTTGCCTTATACCTTGAAGCTTTCCCAAAAGTCTCCAACTGCTGGGCCAGCCTGTGGCCCGAGGTTTGTGTCTGAAGTTCAGGTCACTTCTTTTTTGCACGGAGAAGCAAACTGTGAGTTGCTGCCTCTTCTCTCCGGCGAGTGCAGCAAGCTGGATCCAGCGATGCAGGGCAGGGAAACGCTTGGTATGTTTGGGCTGGAGGAGGGCACTGCTGGATCCAGCAGCAAAGCCGGTGCCAGGGGCTACGTCTTCTTCCTCCAAGCATCTCCCTTGCCGGGTCTGTCCATCCCTGAGGACCTTCTGTGCATCCCTGCACCAAGGAGATGTCCTGTCCTCAGCAAGGGCCCTGCCCGAGCTCAGGCTCTGTCGTGGAAGGGCTCTGTGAGCGTTGGCAAACCAACCGAATCGCAGCCCTTGCGATGCGGGGAAGAAGAAATATGATTTCCAGATGTGCTGCATACGTTTGTAGATAAAATTCAGCTGACTTCTGAAGAGAAACCCGAGCGGCAGAATGGATGCTTTAAGGAGCCCCTCTCTGGGGCAAAGGGGAGTTGTGACAGGAGATCTCACGTTATTGCACACAAGCTGAAAGAGCTGGGAAAAAAACAACCCCATTTACAAGGAAGGCGGATGAATATTTTTATGAAATGTTTTACTCAAACCGCTTTTGCCACGGCCTTCCAGCGCGGAGCTGCTCACAGCAGGAGGAGCTGCGTGGCAGCGGGCTGGAGCGCGAGGTGTCTGCAACGTCGTAAAACCCCAACCGCCCGAGCAGAGCACTAGCCACACGCTTTAACATTTCCTTTCTTTCCCCTTCTAAAAATACAGGCCTCCGTTCACTTCCATTTTCCATTGCAGCATTCATACGTTTTGGTCCCTGTTCAGAGTGTAAGAATTCTCCTTTTTTCCCTGTAAGTCTGATTAGTTGCCTCCTGGTGAATATGAAAACTTTTCTAAGCCTCAAGCTGCATCCATGAAAACTGCATCCCGGCTTGGTTTACCCCTAATAGCAATATTGCAATGGAAGTGCCCAGAAATCCAAACAGGACTCTTGGCCTGACCTGCTCAGTACTGCAGAAATGCGGAGCGAGACCTTGTCCATGCCGGGCTGGTTGTTGTCTGCAGAGGTTATTGTCTGTCCCTGGCTAGACTCACTCTGGAACAAAGTGACTTTCATTTCCGAATGCGGAGGTGATGCAGGAGCTCTGCCAGGTGAGTGGTTTCCCCATGCAGGTCTAAGAGACAGACCCCAAGTCACGCTGCTCTCTCACAGCCTTTTCCTCTTCTGCCCGGACCTGCGGCACTGAATGTCACACGTTGTCCCCTGGGACCTGCTCCTTTCCCAAGCACCTTATAATCGGGTAGGCTAGATAGGAGCCTCTCCCCCAGTCAGCCCTGCTGAGAATTGCTTTGTCCCTTTGGGAAACCATCAGAAAGAAGAGGATGTGGTTATTGGGGATAATTAGGAGTGAGACAGCCTGGCACAACCTCTGACCTCCCTTGGTTAAGTCCATTGGTAGCAGAATGGTGGCGTGTGTCTCGGAGATGGAATATTTGGAAAGCAAAGTGCCTTGATCTGTGCTCCCGCCGGGGTGTTACATGGTTTAGTTCTGCAGCTGGTGGCTCAGGTTCCTCACGCAGCGAGTGCCGGGGGCATCCAGCCACACAAGTGTGCACGCTGGCGCAAAAGCAACGCGAGTCCTGGACATGAAAACACCCCGGACGGCGGAGCTCCCGCCTCGCACCCCCAAAACGGGGAGGCCGTGGTGCAAAAAAAGCCCCTTAGGACTTTACGCTGGAAACATGAACCTCCCCGGCCCCTCTGTCATCGCGAGGCGCACACAGAACCGAGGTGGAAACGTGCAGGGCTCCCAACCATGTAAAATAATAATGCAGGGCTCCCGGGCCAAGTTTCCAGCTGTTTCCACATGTGTATCTCATAGTTACCTCCTCCCGCACGCCTGTGCCAGGACCGCGATTCAATAAAATGCCACACTAATCCACAGTCCTTTTTCATTAAATGACCAATTAAAGCTGGAGGAAAGGGGCTCTTATTATTATTATTTCAGTTGGGAACATGTTCCCTGTAGTGCCGTGTGGTTTTATATATGTATTTTTTGCGATGATTGTATTCTCTTCTGCTCCGTTATCTCTGCAGAGTCGCCTTGCTACTGCATTCATTCTGCCCCCCGCTCCTTGCTGTTGCTTTGCTTCAACGACAAGTTGCTTTTTAATTCTGGAAAGCTTTTAAACACCTCTGAGCACAAGTTAGTGCATCCGTGGGGCTGTGGCTGTGTTTATACACTGACTAAGGTTGAAAAGGGAAAGGTTGGAGAGCAGAAATGGTTGAAGAGCCTGGCAGCAGTGTTGCTTCGTGGTGCTGGGGGTAACCCTGTTGTCCGCAGTGATGCTCAGCTCCTGGTCCATGCGGATGCGGAGGGAAGGAGCAAGGCCCATCCCAAGGCAGCTCCCCCGGAGAGCGGTACCAGGAGAGCCAGAGGGCCCGGACACAGCACGACCATGAGCCCTGTGAGAGCCTGGAGCTCTCAGTGTCTTAACGCCTGGTCCTGGCCTAATTAGAGAGGTCTTGAGTGCTGGTGCCAGCTGGAAAGTTGGGGTTTATCCCAAAAATCCATGGGTTAGCGTGGAGTCTGTGGAGAGGAGAAGGCTTCGGCTCTGCACCGGCGGCCGCGTTGCTTTGGGAGCCGCAGCTGGGGCCTCCGCTGACTCTCAGGCGTGTGTTAGTTGGGCTGGGGATGGAGTTTGTGTTTGGGTTCATCGCTTGCGTTCTTGCTTTGAAACAAAACCCCTGCAAGCCAAGGAGGGCGTCGCGCCCACGTGCGTGTCCCTCGGCCCGTGCCCGTGTCCCGCTGGGCATCCAGCGAGACCAGAGGAGGGTCAGCCCGTGCCGCCTGCCCGCCTGCCCTTGCGGAGGCCTGGGGGGAATGAGGCAGCAGCTCCCGCTTGGGAAAGTCCAAAATCCCAAGCCGAGCCCCCCTGGCCATGGCCATACCTTAACGCAATGCATACATTGCTCCCAGCTTCTTTTTCTCAACCGTTGGATGGTTCCAGGTCTCACTCTCCCGTTCTCAGAAGCAGAACCTAAATGTGATCCTAAATGTCACCGCTCCACGGCCCGTCCCGGCGCCCGGGCCTCAGCCCCAAGCGCGGAGCTTCCCTGCGCGGGACCCGCGGCACCTTGATTTTTTCCTCCCTTTGCCACCGTATCGCTTTACCGAGTAATGAGTTAAACAGTTCGGTTGTTAGCGCCGCTCGGCTCCTGCGTGCTCCAAGCGTCGCCGTGCGTGATATCTAAGCCTTTGTGTTGAGGGCAGAGCGGGGAGCTGCATCTCATGGAAATTTCTCACCGCAGACTTCGCTGGGGCCAGACATGTTGTAAATTTTACAAGAAAAACACTTTACAAACCAGAAGTCCAACTCTTGTGAGCACGGAGCTGCTAATTAACAATTTAGAGACCATGTGAGCCAGGGATCCTGTTCCACCGTCACAGCGTCTCCGGGTTATGAAATCCGGCTCTCTCCATTCAGTGTCCTGCTTAAAACCAGCTCCTGGTGACTATGTAGACTTTCTAGTTAGGTTTTTCTCCAGCTTCTCCCCTACTTCTCTCCAGAAAGACACTGCCACGTGTCCCAGGCCCTCCAAGAAATGGCCCTTAAAACCTGGATTAAAATGGATAGGTGAGCAGGGATGCAGCGTGGGTTGTGCCAGGCCGGTGGGACATCCCTGGCCTCGGGCACTTGGTTCTCAGCGGGCACCATCGGTGGTGGCCGGCCGTGGTGGGACAAAGTAGGAGGACGGGGAGAGGAACCACCTCCAAAAAGCTGCTTGGCTTAAATACCTGTGGTTTCCTCTGCGTGGTGATGAGCAGGGGTCAGAATCCCCGCGCGGGAGCTGCTCCCAAAGGGCCTTCCCGGCCACCGGGGCGTTTTCCATCCCGCTCCTCTCCGCCGTTCCCCGTGGCAACGGAAATAACAAAACGGGGCCGTTGTCAGAGGTTTGCAGGGGAGCTTTGCCCATGTTCCGCGTTAGTCACGGCCCCGCAGGTACCGCCGCCGGGTTTAGCTTTCCCACAGTGTCCCCTACTGCTTGCATGAAAAAATCCACTTAGGTACACGTGAAAAAAAAAAGGGGGGGAAAGGCTTTATGGAAGTGCAAGGTGCCAAAAATCACCAGAAGGGGAAATGCTTTCCAGGGAGCTCACCAAAACGCCCTGCCTTCGAGGGCGCAGGATGCCCTCCGTATTTCAGCAGCCCCCTAATTAAGAGCATAGCACAGACACTGGGTGTTAGGTTAAAGGAAATAAGGGGAGGCAAAGCGCAGGAATTTAGCAAGTCACGCGCTGAAAAGCCCCGTGCTTCTGTTTTCTCTCTGAAAACACAGCAAGGGAAAGTAGCTTGTATTAAAGTGCTGGGTGGATTCTCGTTTTAAAATGCACCGTTACCGCTCCTCCATGGAATTTTGATACTAAAATGATTGAAGTCAAGCGTTTGGGGTGCAGAGTTAGCAGGAACATCTCAGGTTTGGCAGACACCAGTGATGCACCAGGCACGTGTCTGGGTGTCCCAATGTGGTTCACGTAGGAGACCCACAAATGGGACCCATCAAGTAGGTGACGGGAGAGGGAATGTGATCCCGATACCCAAAGCCATGGATCGCCATCCCAAAGCCATCCCTGGGCTCGGCCGAGGTCCGTGCGCGGGGGCAGCTGGCCGGGTGCCCTCAGCCACACGTTGCTGCTGTCACCTTGCTCCAGGCTAGGGGATCACGTAGCTGGCCCAGCTAACGAACGGCAGCTCGTTAAGTGGGGGTGTCTCGCCCACCCTCAGTCCTATCCATACCCCGAGGAGTGGCTGCCAGATGAGGAAACGCTGCTCTCCTGGCACATCTGCTCCCTGCAAACGCTGGAGGGTCTCAGCATGAACCTCGAGGTGTTGGATCCCGTGGGATCTATTCCCAGCAACACCAGGAAATTCAGCATTTGCTAACTGAACCCGTAGCCATCCCAGCAGAGACCGTGCAGAATTCGTTAATGCTGAGCGCGGCACGTGGCTGAGTCCTGCAGCGTCTAACGCCTCTTCTCTTCTCCATCTCCTCCCTTCCCCAAGACCTACGAGCAGAACGAGTGGATCGTCCACCTGGCTGGGAAGCTGCTGGCGCAGGAGGAGTCCGCGCTGTCCCTGATGGCAACGAACCCCTTCGCCGGCAGAGCGGCTCCCCGGTAAGCTTCCCACAGGCTCCGTGTCCATCCATCCTGGATACGTGAGCGTCGCTTCTTGGTGTCTGGTGGCCTTTGAAAAGCTCGTGAAAGCCTGGAGTATTGTGTCCAGTTCTGGGCCGCACAGTACAAGAGGGATGTGGAGCTGCTGGAGAGAGTCCAGCGCAGGGCCACGAGGATGATCAGGGGCCTGGAACATCTGCCCTATGAGGAGAGGCTGAGGGAGCTGGGCCTGTTCAGCCTGGAGAAGAGAAGGTTGAGAGGGGATCTAATCAGTGTCTATAAGTACCTCAAGGGAGGCAGTGAGGAGGATGG